TTTTTTTTTTTGCTGTTGTTGGCAATGAACATTCAAAAATTCCAACTGCAATCTCATTCCACTTACTCCAATTTTATCCTGTCGATGTTCGTCATTATCCCTTCAAGCTGCAATCGAAGTTAAAAAAGAAAAGAAACGCAAGAATTTTATCAGCGTGTTATATGAAGAAAATTGCAAGTGATATTTGGTGCTGTTGTTGCAGTAGTACCTTGACAATTTGGCGCATAAAATAATCTCCGTATTTCTTTGCCGGTTTGGATTCAACAACATGAACCATTTCCTGAATCACAAAAACAACAGAGGTGATTTTATCTTTAGCATAAGTTTATTTTTATTTATTTATTTATTTATTTTTTTTAGCTTAAGTTTCCAATGACAGGATCGTGCAAGCAAAATAAAAACTCACATCAACAACGTAAAAGTTGATATCTGCATTGGAAGTGATTTTCCCATCTGAATCCACGGCATGTGTCTTGTGTTTGTACGTCATCAAAATTGACCTAAAGAAAGAAAAACACAACAATGCTTACATATATTACACAACTTTATCACATTAGGTAGAGCAGGGACCTGAAGCTAGGATTACAATGTAGGGTTCTTTTTCTAACCTTAAAGTAAGTTCATCCACTTCCAGGTATGCTGCGAGCTTCGGGATGGAAATTGTTGAGTACACTTTTAAGAATGTCCGGAGGCCCGACAATAGGTGCTGCTGCTTCACTTCATAAATAAACAACTTCAACTGAAGTCTATAGGCATCCTGAAATAGAAGAATAGGAAAATGAATTGAATATCACATGAGGAAGAGCCAATTAATACAAGGTTATTTAAAAGTAATCTTTATGTCAGGTCTAATTATAATTACACTTTCAAAAACACTTTCTTAAGCAAATCAAACTTGAGGGAGTAAGAACGTGCTTGGATACAAATATATCAACTCAACACGTGTTTTTTTTTTTTGTTAACCAGGGTCTAATTTTAAAAATGTTGTGTAGTTAGTTGTTAATGAGATTTGGAGTTTATATTAAAATAATATTTAAAATAAAGTAATTAAAGTTGCTTTGATGCAAAATAGAAGAGAAAAGATGTGAAGTGATAATTAGTTAAAATTATGTGAGTGGATAACTACTAAAGAGTGAATTAAACTTGATGTGATATGTAAGAATAATTGATTGGTATTATTTAATTATACTGATTGTGTTAGATTTTAAGTATGGATTGAATTTATTTGTATGCAAAGTTGCAAACACACCCTAAGGTATCCATAATTCTGAAGAGTTGAAGGATAGTTTTTAATTTTTATAGTTGCAAAGAACCCAATTAGTATTTTTTATTTAATGAACACTTATTCAAATGATGTTTTCATACCTGGTTGTAGTTTACAAGAGGCTCCTCATAACTTGGGGCAGATGGGGTGATGAATTTTGGGCAAGCATAAGAAAAGAGCTCATCGTACAGTGGAATTGCCTCGTCATCATACCTTTGCATCCTCATCATTTTCTCACCGTATTTTTCCCGTAATTGAGAGTTCACAGTCTCCTCAACAAGTTGCACCTGAGGACACAGGGAAAGAGAAATAGCAAGCAAGGCATACATCTGCTCGTTCTTCTTCAGTATCAGCTCATACTGAGCAGATTTCTGGTGGTATTGCTTGGCCTTGAAGATGTAGAGGAGGATCTTATTAAATTCCCTAATGGCTTCTGTATATCTGCATAAAAATTAGGGAAAAAATATAAGACAACTGAATAAGTAATGCTGCTGGTAGTTTATGAAGATACTTTAGATGAGGCACATTTGTGCCAAAATAAAATTAATCAACCATAGGCAGGAAAAAACTAGAGAAGAACGAAATTCAAATATGAGAAGATAAGACAAGCAAAAGCACATGGAAAAAAATTAAAAAGAAAAAGAAAAGACCTTGCTGCATAGAGTTTGAACGGATATAATCCAATATATTACATAAAACCTACCTTCGCAGCATAAGATTTGCAAACCCATAGTGATATATAGTCGCAATATGGCTGCCAATAACACTGATATACACTCCTGGTTGACTTATGTCAATTGGAAGTAAGCATTTAAGGCCTGTGTGATAATCACCCAACAAGCAGTGAACTCTAAGAAGGCCGATCATGCTGAAGTACCCCAAGACCTTCAAGACATTACTTCCGCCATTGTAATCATACCCATCTGTAGCCGTAAACTGTTCAGCGCCTTCTTTCTCCTGCTCTAGAATTTGAATGATTTTAGACTTCTCCACAAGTGCTTGTAGGTAATTGAGGACACCGTACACATTCCATGCCTGTTAAACAAACACATTTGTAATTATTCCCTAACAGTAAATCAACAAAAGCTCAAATTTAACAGATCAAAGGAGATAGTATCTCTCTGAAAACAGAAGCAACATAGTTAGACAAGTTAATCTACAGCATGTCAAACTAGCACTAGCAGTGAGGTGAGTAAACCCAGCATATCCAATTTTCCATCACGGTCTCCAAATGTTAAGACATAACCCAGAAAATCTTTGGATATGATTGTGCGCGTATTATGTGAACATATAAATGCCGTTATTATCAGTTGGAAGCTTGAACTAATATCATCACATCAGGTAAATCATGAAACCATCTGTGAAAGCAGGGTAATCTGGGACGACATCAAGTCAATGTAGCAGTCCATGACTCCATAAGCAGTGATAAAGCAAATCTAACAAGGAAAATCATGATGCAGATGAATACAAGTTAACACTTGTTAGAAATAAAACATCATTAAAGAACTTATTTAACTAGAGAAGATAACAAAAAACTGAAAACCGTATCTCTCCACAAGCACAATTTTTTGTGTAAGCCGGCCTAACCGATAGATGGTCAACCTGTCACTCTTTTTTAACAAAAACTCATACATATGTTATGAAATGTCATGTTGTTTTTCAGAGTATTATACTCATGTCTGAAAGTATGCACATCTGTTGAGAAGTATGTCTACTCCCTACTGATCCACAAGTTTTCTAAGTTGTATATGCTTTTTATCGCAAATTAAGTATTTCAAACTATCGGTCCGAACCTATTCGATAATACGACTCTGAGTAACCCTCACCTGATCAAATTGCCTCAGAAGTGCAATCTCCTGCTCGGTCTTCGTCTTCATCTTAGCACGATATTGGCAGAATGACTGAAACTGGTAAACAAACTCATCAACCATGTCCCACAACCACTGATTTGGCAGCTGCATATTCACTACACCATGCACTACAACCTGTCGCAACACCATATTCAAAAACATCAATTCTCACTGCAGTTTAGTTCATCAAAATCAAGCTAAATTCTATCTCATTCATAATAAAATATGAAGCTAAACCCACTTTCCCCAACAAACTTGTGACATTGAGCTGTTGAAACAACCCTAACCTGGAACAAATTGCAATAATTTTCCCACGAATCAATCCGCTGCCTGAGAGTGGGCGAGAGCCTGGCGTACAAATGTCGGAACCACATCTCGCGGTACAGCAAACAAAAGACATGGTCGTTATCAACGTACGGCGCCACAGACTCCACGGAGGGCCACGGGCTGTCCTTGAAAAACCTTTCGCTGATGCTCTGAAACGAAGTCTCGTACATCTGGTGAATCTCGTACACGTTCTTCTCCCGAATGTGGCGATACATGTGAACTACGAACGATTTGACGGAGTCCGGCACGAAGGACGGGTCGTATCCTCCGGCGGCGGAGTCTCCGGTGATGGGTTGATCGGAATCGTACGCTGCGGCCATTTTTCGCGGTGGTGGAGTTTTGAGGTGGAACTGTGGTGCTCGGAGTCGGAGGTTTGAGATTTTGTTTTGGTTTTTGCCCTAAAAGAGTTGAGAATGTAAAGTGGGCTGAGTTTTCATATTTCTCTTTGGGCTTGGATTGCTGTTTTCCTTGGGCTACTTGATAGTGCCCCAACATGATGTGGCACATTATGATTGGTGCCACAACTATCACACATGTTGTGGCACCAATCATAATGTGTCACATCATGTTGTGGCACCATAATATGGTGCCACATGTGGTGCCATAGATTTTCTGGTAGTTTGTAAGTGTAACTATACAAGGGAACTTCTACACTCTTGTTGACGAAATAATTCCGTCAGTGTTGGTTACCGTAAATTATCTACACAAGATAATCTATATGTGCATCTAATTGTAAAAAACACTAACAATATCATCTCGCAATAGGACCTTAGAACTTTCTTGTAAAATAAATATTTTAAAATTAAAGTTACCACAACGCGAAATACTTTGACAACCATTCCATATATAAAATTAATTAACGACATCTTGTTTTGCTCGTTTTTTTATGTTTACGAAACATTTCAATTTTAATTTAGGCTTGTACATGTAAAAGTAATCAATGAAAAAAAAAACGATATAGATTAAAATTAATCGAAAAAAACAATTTTTATATACACAAAATAAAAGTTTTTATACCAGATTATTAATCCAAAAATTTATGGAAAAAAATGGGGAACATAGATTTTTTTTTTCATTTTTTATTGAATAATATAAAATAGAGGAATGCTGCAGTCTCGTTATTGAATTATTCTGTCAAGTTTGTAACCGTTAGATCATCATGTAATCGTCATAGATAATAACAACAGGTGCCCATAAAATATAGTTAGCCAATATACCAGCTCAACAAGTGCCCAAAAAGGCCCAAACACACAGCTTTGGACCCAAATTCTACATAATTAATTTTCCACACCAAGTCAAATCGCAAAACGAGCTGTAAAATGCCCGCGATCGGTATGTAGCATTTGTATAGGTTAAAGCTCGATTTCCCGTTTATTTTCCGGCAAAATTTCTGCCGGCGGCGAGGTGACAACGCCGGTAGCAATCGGCGACGTGGGGTTTCCAAAGCAGAGGGCAGGTTCGCTTTTTTCAATAATTTCTAACTAATTTGCTAGCTCGCTCCTTTTTGTCCACTTGAATTTGAGAATTTAAGTACAAAGACACGAACTTTATCGCCTATGTTTGTGGTGATCATGTGGTTTTTGTCTCTCAGCGTATTTCATTTGATCGATTGTTATCTGTCAGCATAATTCACATTATAGAAAGCTTTTGGGTGAAGTTTAAGAAATCCTCAATATTTTGCAGCATAGGAGGAATTAAATTATTGGTATATCATGCAGGTGCTGATAAATTAAACGAGTCTAGCTCGGCTCGGTTCGAGCTCGGCTCGTTAAGGCTCGAGTTCGATGCTTTAACGAGCCGAGCTCAGTAAAAGCTCGTTTGGCTATCTCGGCTTGATAAGGCTCGAAAATAGAATTTTTTGTATATTTTTTTATAGTTCGGCTCGTTAAATCTCGAGCTTCAGGCCTTAACGAGCCAAGCTTGAGATGGATTTTAGGCTCGTTTATTTAACGAGCCGAGCCGAGCTCGGCTCGTTAAGGGCTCGAGCTCGACTCGGCTCGGCTCGTTTACAACCATCATGCTAAATATATTCCAGTGGGTTTTTGGACATTTTGTTCTCAATTTTGTTCAGAACTGTGAGAGTCTATATCAGTAAATAATTTGCTATTGTTGGTGTTAATTTTATTTTCGCCCCGTTTATGTATATCATTAGTTGAAAATGTTATCCTTTTCAGAAACATTGTCCGTTTTTGGTTCTAAATCTTTATTAAACTGGCTAGGAAATTCGTCAATACTGCTTAATCTACGAGCTTCTGTGTATGTAAGCGTGTGTGTTTTAAAGTATGCAAAGTGTCGAGATTTCAGAGGCTTATCCGATGCAAGGGAATGTTAATATACAGTTATAATGAGAAAGTTTATGTTAGGTGAAGGTTACTGATTTGTACTTCTTCTTTAAACCACTCGATTTTTGGTGAACATGAACGGGTTTAATGCACGTGTTGCTTTCTTTCTTACAAGTTTTGATTTCAGACCATTGCTTTCATTTGTTTCTCCACTTGCCGATAGGAATGTCTGATCGTTTTTCTAGACTGCACAAAGAATAAAAAAAGGCCCCAATACCCATATGTTGCTATGTTTGTCTTAGATATCGTGTTCTTGTTAGTTGTATATATAATGTTGAATGATATATAGACTCTGCTAAGAAGGAGGTTTGGTGATGTCATTGAATAATCTGACATCAGCTGTTTCTTTCTGCTTTCGACTATTCTGAGCAAAATGGTCATTCGAATGGGCTGTATTTTGTCTTGCGTTACGTTGGAATATTTGTGGGGCAATATTGGTGATCGTGTCTATAATAGTAACTGTGTGGAACCAAAACTTGCTTGCTTATTATACATTTTCAATATCGATGCAAAGTTCTTTTATGCTCTTTAGCATGAAATTTGAAGAGATGGTTGTGTTTTATTTTGTTTTGTTTTGCCTTAGGAAGCTCAACTCGATGATCACGAGCCGGATATAAGCCAGCCTCAACAACTCACACAACCGAGTCATGCCCAAAGGGATGTACAAGCAGCCAATCAGCAGCAGCCACTTGGCAGCGGAGAACAATGTATTTGTAATTCGCTCTATCAGTCCATTGCCGGCAACTCTTCTCAATTCTCATACATGTATTTTTAACTTGCTTTCGTGTTGAAAGATGTACAGTTTGTGTACAAATTTTTGTATGAAAGAAAATTTTCAACTCAGGCACCATATGAAAATCCCTGCTTGCTCGAAAAAGTTGTCCTATAACACTTGGATAAAGCATCAGTCATTCGAAAAAGATGCACTTTCCACTTGGCTAAAGCCAATTCCCATTAAATAGTCAACATATTGGACTTTACAGTTATTCTTTTTTTAATTGTTGGATCAGTACAAATGGTGAGATTACTGTCTTCACAGGATCTTTTTTCATTAGATCTCGCATTTTTACACAAATGCATCCAGATGAGTATGTAAACGAGCCTTGCCGAACTTGAGCTTGAGGTGCTTGAGCTTCAAGCTCGGCTCGTTTATCGCTAATAACGAGCTGAGTTTTTAATGAGCCAATCTCGAGCTTTAACAAGTGGAATTATAAAAATTATATAGAAAATTATATTTTCGAGCCCTATCAAGTTGAGCTCAAACGAGCTGGGCCGAACTCGAGTCATAACGAGTGGAGCTCGAGTCGAGTCAGATTCGTTTAATTTGGTAAAATAGGCTCAAGGAAACACAATTTGTCCTAAAATGACCCCGGAACAAATACTCGACCTAATGAGTAACGACGAGGTGGAATTGAATGAGCTAACCCACGTGTCATTTGAGTAACCGGGATTTGGCGACCTAAACATATTTCGGCATGTAACACAACCTAAGATCAGGAAGACATAAGGACTATTAGCACAATGTAAACACGCCAAGATAAGTGCAGTCGTTAAGATGAGGACAAACCTCAGGCGTCATATGCGGGCAGCCAACTTTCGATCTTCGGCAGCCTGTTTTACTCTTGGACATGCCTTTCTTGGGCACAAGACACAATCAGAGTAAGATCACCACACTATAAATAGGGGGAAAAAAGGTAGTATTAATATCTTTCTCCTTATATGATATATCTTCAATATTCTAAATATAATCCCTACCATCACCCTATACTAACTTGACCGTCGAAGTTCTAATGTTGGAGAACCTCCCGATATTTTTTACAGGTCATTATTTCAACAGCGAAAACAACTACGTCTCAAGCCATTAAGTAACCAGACTAGAGCTTCCAGATGATCCGACCAGCTTGAACCGACGTTATTTGGTGAAATACACTCATGTTGAATTAATTGTCTTCACTGGATTATTTTCCATCAGGCCACGCATTTTAATTCTTTACACGTATACATCCACATGAATGTGTGTTGAACCAACGGTTAAAAAATTCCAATATGTCTAAACAATCACTTTATACTCTCTTTCTATGGTTGCACAATCGGTCAAAATCAAACCGAAACGACCGAAAATTCGGTTCGTCCAATATTAAAACAGAAAACCGAACCGAAAACTACAGTTCGGTTCGGTTTCAAACTGAAAATTTATCGATTTTTTCGGTTCGGTTAACCGATAAAATGAAGAAATGACAAAAAAATAAAATTTACAAACAACAATAGATACAACTTAATAATTTTACCCAAAAAAAAAAACTAAATGCATAAGGAAAAAAAAGAGAGAACTTGTCCCGGAGATGGAGCGAGTGATTTGTGCAGCGTGCGGCGGACGAGCGGAGAAGATGCAGGTAGGGGTTTTTTTTTGTTGTTGTGGAAGACTGAGAGACAGAAAGAGTATGTGAGAGAACGATTTTGTTTCTGAATTCTGTTAATCGGATGCCAATTAATCCGTAGAACACAATTAATTTCTTTTGGGCATGTCATGTTATAGTTATTAATACCAATTAGATTCATAAATTGGGCCTCCTTCCATTATATCTTTGGGCCTGTCATGTTACAGTTATTATTATTATTATTTTTTTTGGTTTTATAAACTAGATCAATACAATCAGATACTAACCGAGTTAGAAACTACATCAAAAAAAGAAGAGAAGAAAATAGAGAGATAATCACTCCAAACATGGGATGATTGCGAAGCAACCTCTCATTTCGCTATGTTGTGGGCCTCCCCATTTTGTTCTCTTGGTAAATAACCGCATTGGCCACAATCAAGAGAAATAAGGAGTGCTCTAATGTGGTCAAACACTCCCATCAAAGGATCGAGCTCATTCTGGTACGAAAACCCGCTAATTATGCCCATAGAATCTGTTAAAGCCGTCTGAATAGTGAATCCCAAGTCCAATGCAATGCGTAGCCCGTGTGTGATAGCCCGT